GGAATTTCACTCGCAGTGAGTTACGGAAAAGAGTATGAAAACTGTTCTCTTTCTGTTTTTCTCTCTTTGCCTTCATTCAATTCATCCTATTTTTTCAGTTATAAAATCAGTTATTTTAGGTTTGTTTCCATGCTCCTCCTGATCACACTTGGAATCCGTTTAGAATAACCATTTTACAGTTATATTCTAATCCTGTGTAATTTTTTGTTTCTATGCCTCTTGTAATCTGTCTATATTCACACACACTTCCTAACTTACATTTCAAGTTGAAAATTTTGATTTCAATTTGTTTCCATGCTCATTTTGTTCACACCTGTAATTCGTTCTATCCCTGTGTCTCTAAGCCTCTTGTAATTCATATCAAGTTGAAAATAATAATCACCTTTTATTCGCCTTTAAAATCATTATTTCTCCAGTTATCAGATATTAATTTTGCATACGTTGTAACTGTTTTCTAATCCTATGAAATCTTGTCTGTAAGCCGCTTGTAATCTGTATTCGTACCTTCAAACATTCATATCAAGTTGAAAATAATTATCAGCTTCGTTACTATGTGGAATTAAACAAATAAGAATTCTATCCATGTAAACTAATCTGTATAAATGCTATTGTACAGCATTTGAGAATTAAATCGCCGAAAAGACTGCCATCTTTGCTGAACTTCTTGTTCTCTTCCCTCTAATGTCCCAATGGGTATTTACCAGACATTATCGCTTCTGTAGTTAATGTCAGCTAACAAACAGTAAAAATAAAAAACAAAAGTTGTTCTGTCAATTCAAGTTTTTATTGCCTGTGTACTAATATTTGTGAACTGCACAGTGTAAAACCAATAAAACAGTTTGGCAGGAGAAGTTTCATGCTCCCAAGTTATCAGCTTTCTTTCTCTACTCATACAACCGATTAGATCGAGTTTATCTATCTATCTATCTATCTATCTATCTATCTATCTATCTATCTATCTATCTATCTATCTATCTATCTATCTATCTATCTATCTATCTATCTATCTATCTATCTATCTATCTATCTATCTATCTATCTATCTATCTATCTATCTATCTATCTATCTATCTATCTATCTATCTATCTATCTATCTATCTATCTATCTATCTATCTATCTATCTATCTATCTATCTATCTATCTTTCTATCTATCTATGAAACATTTGATCGGTAAAATGAAAGTCAACTGTAATCTTAGCTAAAATGTAAACGATTCAAATGTGTCCACGTAAAAAAAATAATGAAAGACAAATTGTCATCTATTCCCATCATTATTTTGACAGACTATTGAATGGAACCTCGATTTTCAAATAAGTTCTCTCTTTTTTTTTATTACAAAGTAAACATCCAATAGATGAAGGGTTTTTTCTTCAAAAAGGAAGAAAGTAAGTGTAATCATCATTCAATCAACCGTTCAAAAGTGCAGGTAGGTACATTTTTTTCGCGAAACATGTGACCTATCTCTATATAATAAATATCATACAGCATATATATAACCAAGGGTTTTGTTAAAGAATATTTTAAAAATTATTTGTAGTCAATATCTTGATGTTATATGTATATAGGTCATTCAAAAATGATTGAAGGAAAATAACCAGGTTTTTGCCCATTTTTTGTTAGGAGGAGGGGGTGGGTGGGAAGGGCATAAGTGAAACCAAACAGAGAAAGGAAAATAAAAAAATTAAAGTTTATAATAATTTGAGAGTTATGTCATTCAGATGTAAAGCTATGTCAAAAATGCTTTCAGTGCATGCATAACTAAGCGCATATAAATCTGTTTCCTAACATATCTTTAGTGTATGTAGCTTTCATTATCAATTTCATTTTAGGTAAGAGAAAAATTTACTTCTACCCAGTAGTCTCACTTGTTGTAAGTATTTTTACTCTCATTTCATCTGCTTGAAAGCTTCATACTTAGCTGTATTCATTAGTTTTAGGTGGGCATTGAAGTGCTATGCGGTTAAGCAACACTTATTCGAGTTAATCTACAGTGTTTTAGGCGGTTTACTAGAATCAGATAGAAATGTTGTCACAAACATGTCCACTGGACACCAGAGCTTAAAATTCTGTGTGGAAAGTAATTATTTTACATTTAAAGGGAATTTATATAGACAAGCAAATGGTGTTGCTATAGGTTCATTGATCTTTTCATGAATAAATTCGAAGATAACAACTTTTCAAGTATACTCACTGATGAAATATGGTTAAGATACGTTGATGATACTTTTGTAGTGCTTAAACGAAATTTACACAGTTCATTCTTCGAGAAACTGAACAATCTACCTCCTAAAATCCAGTTTACTTCGGAAGCAGAATCAGACGTTGGTGAACTACCATTTCTAGACTGCATAGTTAAGAGGAAGGAAAACGAACATTTCAGTATATCTGTATTCAGGAAGAAAGCCCACACCAATAAATATTTAGACTTCAAATCATCACACCCCATCAGCGCAAAGGTATCAGTTGTTTCAAGTCTTCTTAGACGAGCACACTCTTTGATGTAAACGGATGAGAAGGAAAAAGCAGAAGAAGAAATATCCACCTGGGAGTACTGAACAGCTGCTTCGTCAGTCTAGTTTGCTACTCTTCACAGTACACAACCACTAGGGTTTGAAACCAGAGCTTTCCAGCTACAAATTTTATTTATATTCTTCTATATAGCTGAAGGTTATTTTCACTTGTAGAATATTTATGTTGCGAGTTACAAATAATTACAAGTATAAAATCAACAATTTAATGTTTCGCCTTTAGAATGTGACCAGAATTTTTGACGACATGAGCAAATCACGCAATAGTTAAGAATTGTTTCTTGGAAGAATCCTATCTGTATTTTTAACTTTAATTATTTGTTTATCATTTAGTTAAAAGAGGAAAAGAGAAGAGCATTATGTTTCTATTCAGTATGATACCTCGCCTATCGATGTGATGAAAATACACTGAAAGCACAAACATTCATATATCCAGTAGTTTGATTTGATAATTTCATTTCTTTGTAAACAGTAGATAGCTTGATACTCTTATCATTAACAAAGCTAAAGTTATTTGTGTATTTCATCATGAAAGTCACTTAAAGTGAAAAGTTGAAGAATTTACGTGTATCTGTGTTAACAGGTACAATGGGAGGACAGAAAGAAGCTCACACCTGGGATTTCCTGAACTTATATCAAAAGGCCTATGTCTCAAGAGGTAAAAAACCTTTACAATAGTACTATTGTCAGACATCTCATCAATACGGGAGATGAGATATCCATTACGAAATCTTTTGAAATTATCCATAAACAAAATAGTTCAGTAATCCTCAATTGTGCTATGAAACGCCTGAAACCCGATTTGTGTATTAGATGGTTGGAGGCGATCGGCAGAAAGCCCTGCTCGACCTAGGTTTCGTGCTAGTTGGCACTTGTCTGCAAAGTGTACCTGCAACCATAAAGGAACTCATGACATGAGTACCCGACTTAATGCATACAGAAAGAAGCAGTTGTCAGTCTTTCCTAGTTCTGGTAATTGGATTTATTTACTCTCCCGTTCACCTGATTACGTAATCTTGGTCTTTAATCTTTTCCACTTTCCCTGAAGAATAATTTTGCTTGTCTCTTATTTCGAAGATTTAGTTTAGATTCACCGTGTCGTTACTCAGTTTATTAGTTACATATCATTTTATTCGCATCTTGTCTTTGCCACTCAACTATTTTGACATTTCGTCCAAGCTTTTAATTTTTCTTCATACCTGAACTTTCTGCGTTTAGGCTTTATGAGTATAGTTTCTGTAGAATTTTTATTAAGTTTGGTGTCTTCTGTCAACCGACACTAAGTAATATTTGCATTTATGTTAAAATTGTTCTTTATGTAAACTTGATAATTTCTTTTGCTGTATGCAGCCTATGAATAGATGACAAAATAAAGGTTGGTACCATGTTTCTCTGCACAAACTTCTGTTCTTACTTAATTCAAATAAATTCAAAATGGTTTAACTCTCTAATCTGTTTATTAGCAGTTTTGTTATTCTTCCAAACATTTTATACATTACCTCAGTTTTATGGTTTATTATTTTAAAACAGAATGGTGACAGTTGATGGATGGTGACTAGCTGTGGGGTTCCAGGACAACGCGCATTTAGTCCTGTTTCGGATTCGTCCTCCAGCTGGATGTACCTGCATTCCCCAGTAAGTGAGTGGTGATGTTCCCACCTAGGCTCAAACCCAGTGCCTCTAGTTTCAAACGTCAAAGCGTTATCCACTAGACCTCTTGAGTCACGAGAGCCACCTCTTGTGCAATTGTTTTCCCTTCACGTTCCCAGTGGAACATAGGGTCTCAGGCTAGTGGTTTGAAGTTTCTGTAGCAGTGTTTGATTTTACAGGATGGGGTTGCTAGCCCATGCCTAACCTTTCCTCTTTACCAGAATTATTTCTTGCTCAGCGAGGTAAAGGAGTGCGTCTGTGACCAGGGATTGAACCCCGGACCATGTGCATAGTCGGCGAGCGTCCTAACCGCTGTGCCATCGACGCACAAGGGGTCATATTAATTAATTAATTAATTAATTGAATTTCAGATTTTCCCGTCGACTGACTAGACATCATCACGCACTGTGGAATTCAGGTACATCCAGCTGGAGGACGAGTCCCAAATAGCACGCAGTGGGCATCCTGTATTTCATTGCTAGTCACCATCCACCAACTCACTTCTAATTGTATGCCCAGGCATTATCGAAGCATGTTCACAATAAGCCGACATGTTAACCTGAGACCGAACACTTCAGTCCAATCAATCGACGGGAAAATCTAAAATTCAATTAAAGAATGATGACAAGTTTTGAAAACTGTGTCATTATCAACCAGCCTGAAACACTATTACTTCTGCAATATACTCCTAATCTTATTGTGTACACCATAATAATGTACTATGTAAGATATATTAGTCATAAACTGATGAGTGATTAAAAAATAAAAAAAATTGAATAATCAAACCGCAGAAATATTTTTAATCAATTAAGTACTTACTTATGATACCGAATATACTCATACATATCAAAAATACACTAGCAATCCATGATGTAATCTTACTACCAGAACAGGCATAAAGTTGAAAATCTGGTTCAGACAATTCACTTCCAACACAAGCAAATTCTGAATGTGGCGTGGTAATATGATCATGATGTAATGGAAGGGTGTTATTGTATTAATGATTTCATGTACACTTGATGTAACAGCCTTATAAAAACTTTCAGCCGAAAATCCCTCTGTAATATTCATGCTTATAGACTCTTCCATCGATGATGTACTAGTCCCGTTGCCCATAGATACTGATGATAATGATGTTGACGGTGATGAAGGCGAAATTTCAATAGATTCCATTTATAATTGCTTTGAGGTATTTATTATTATTATTATTTTTTGTTGTCCAGTGACTATTTCATACAAGTGCAGTCAGTGGGTTTCATTTTTGGAGCATAATTCAATTACATTTGATGATAAACATTTTCAATCTGAATGTGTTTTGAAGACAGTCTGTTCGAAAACTTAAACTAAATTGCTGTAATGCACATCAGCTACATACCAAATGAAATATATATATATATATATATATCATTTTAATCTTAAGATATATCCTTCCCACATAAAATTCCGTAAGGTAGTACTACTCAACTATTTGCCAAAATTATTTTTACAAATCAAAGGGGGAGTGTCATTATGTCATTATGTGTGTCTCTATTATGAAAGTGCATATGTGTTTACACAAATTATTGGGAAATATGTGTATGTATGTATTTTTGGTTAGTATGTTTGTGTGCATTGCACACCGAAATAATATCGTCAAGAAAAGCTTTATGCACTAATGTGTGCATGCGTGTGTGTGTGTGTGTTAGTGTGTCTTTCATTATCTGAATACAATTGCACATATCTTCACGTGAATAAGAAAATGACAGGTCAGTTTTCAGTGAATAGTCCTATATACAGGTTAAAGCTACTATCCCACTAATCAAATCAGATTTTGGTGAAAAAGCACCTCTAGATTGAGATTTATAACGTATGAGAGTAAGTTTACTAAGACTTTAAAAAAAAAACAACTAAGAAGTTAATTGGTGGATGGTGACTAGCGGTGTAATCCAGAACAACGTGCATTTAGTCCTATTTTGGACTCGTCCGCCAGTGGATATACCTGCATTCCCCACTCACTGAGTGATGATGTTCCCACCGAGGCTCGAACCCAGTGCTTCTAGTTACAAAAGCCAAAGGATTATACACTAGACCACTTGGGCCACGAGAGCCACCTATTGTGGAACAGGTCATATTAATTATTTGATTGAATTTTAGATTTTTCCGTCGATTGATTAGACCGAAGTGCTCGGTTTCAGGTTGACATGTTGGCTTCTTGTGCAGATGCTTCGACGATGTCTGGGCATCATCACACACTGTGGAATGCAGGTACATCCAGCTGGCGGACAGGTCGTGAGTAGAACGAAATGGGCATCCCAGGTTCCACTGTTAGTCTCCATCCACCAATTAACCTCTAATGACATGCTTAAACATCGTCGAAGCATCTGTACAAGAAGCCGACATGTTAACCTAAGATCGAACACTTCACTCCGATCAATCGATGGGCAAATCTAAAATTGAATTAAAAACTCAGTTGTGTTTTAGAAAATTTAGTTTATTAAGTTACAGTTTGCTCGTGAACTGGACGAAGCTTGTGTTCACTTAAAGATTTCTTTTAGTGGTATGCTTACTAATGAATTTGGAACTTATTCTTAAAATCTATACTGGAACATATTAATCCCTTAAAGACCATACAATTTATTCACGCACTTATTGTATGGAGTGGTATGAAAAGAAGTTTGTACAAGTTTTATCATTACCATTAATAGTTTTTTAAATCCTTTCCGTTCCCGGTGGAATAGCTTTGAAGTTTCAGTAGCAGTTGTTTTTATTTTTTGCGGGTGGGGTTGCTAGTCTCACACCCAACCTCCTCTCTTTATCGCGATTATAGCGGCTAATGGAGAAAATTGTTCGTGACGGCTGGAAATTGAACCCGAGACTACGTGCGTGGTTGGCCAGCACTCTACCACTGAACCATCAACGCACAAGTAATACTTAATTCATCACTTTTTTAAGCAACCGTTAATGGTAGTGAACACTGAACCAGCAATGTGTGGTTTGTTTATTTAAAAAGGATATCTGGTTTCGCTGCGGGCAACTATAACAGTTGTGGTCTATTTACTCGCCGTCTGACAGAAGATCGGAGTGAAACGTTCATAAGTATTACTCTAAATATGCTGATGTCTATTTATAGACTTTGTGCTGTGAGAACCTCGTATTCCTGGTTTATTTTCACCGAAGAAATAAACAGTATTGAATTGCCAATTCGTCTTCTGATATTCTCCAGTCGGTTATTTCACAGAGTATTCTCAGTTGCAGCGATTAATCTCCTTACAGTAGCACCAACTTCAGGATCTGTGAGTTGGAAACTTTTGAAGCTGGTACTTCTACAGTACCTTAGCCAACATTCATAAAAAAACTCAGTGTAGAAAAGACTGAACTACTGGTAAACTCAAACCTTGGATAACTTAACTGAAAAACATAAATCAGATCTCAGATGGAGTAGTGAGTATAGTATTTCTTCTGAATATGTCTTACGACACATCTACTAAAATTAATATATGTGTAAAACTTGAGCACTATGGTAGTATGTAATTCCATAATAATTTGTTTATTAGAAACATCACACAGTGAAAAAGTATCATTCACCAGATGACGTTTTGAACTCAATTTATTGTTCATAATCATAAAACTTCGAAACTTGAGTTTTATTGGCTTCTTTGTTCTCTCCTATTTATCGTCGTACGGATAGTAGGATTTTCCAGATGTCCGATTGGACAGGTGTCGAATCATTCCTATTACACGTGTTCTCTTCAGTTGATTCGATAAATAAAGCTGCCGTTGACATCAATCTCTCCATCCACCTTGTGATACTAGATTTTAAAACTTTCATCTCATCCCATCTTGTTGTATGGTTGTGCTTAACTGCAAGTATTGATTAACATAGCTTAACTATTCTCTAGATTTCTTATCTTATTCGCCTCCATCTTCGAATTGATGTGCTCAAAAATCTATTTATGCCCTGTGTTCTAAGTACATCTCTCAAAAGCAAATTTCGGAAAAATTACTTTCTCTGTCTCAGTCTTCAGTTAGAAATTTACGAACATTTCAACTAATAATTGCTTTAAAACAAGTAATGTACAGAAATTACACCAAAATAAAACACGACACCATGAATATGTTTACCTAATAAAAGCACACAGCGATATAGTGTTATTTACTGATGACGTTTTGGCACAGTTTATTGCTCATAATTGAGTCAAGGCTCTCACATAATTTTCAAACTTCGTTTATATGAATCCATCACCCCTTATCTTTTGATTTCATTGCAATGATTGTGAAGTCAACTAAATAGGTCAGGCTAGTAAACTGGAATAGAGTATGGGATGTGATGTGATCATTTGTGCAGTCTTGAAATTCGTATGGGAGCATATTTTGGGCCTTTACAATAATTATAAGCCGAGATGCATTACAATTTCGGCGGATGACCAAGTTTAGTCTGTGTCTCAAAATCCTACTTTCTGTTTCCCATTGTGTGGTAATTTGATGAAATCATCTATCTTAGAGACAGAATAGATTGTAGATCTATAAAAACTAACTGACTTCCACACCAGTTTAAAAATTTTCAAAGGATATCTGTTTTCGACAAGAATATCTATCGATATTTTATTTTCATCACCTGTTCAAATACGCTGAGTCTTCTTAAACAAGCACTTTACTAGGCATCTCTTATATTGTAGTGGACAGAAGCTGTGAAATTTTAAATATTGCCCTGTCCAACTAGGCTTTCTGTAAATTGATTGCTTTATTAAGCCATCTTCTCATCGGATTAAAAAGAAAATTTACAAATGCAAGTTGATTGCGATTTTCTTTTTCACATGTGGGACTTATGTGATTTTGTACAGAGTTGAGTTGTGTTACCATATTGTCAACGTGTTTTTTTCACTATTGCGACTTTGTTTGGTGGATGACCCCCTGGATAGAGTTTCTGATCCCACCTTGTTGGGTATATTCTACTTGATTCTCAAGTACTGCTTACGGTCGATTTTAGGTTAACTAACTTTGTTCTACAGTACTTACTTTATACTTGGGAATTCTCTGACTTGTAGACCTGCCTAACGGCATTTTTAAGATACTTTTGAGTTTTTCATATGTTGTTGTCGTAAAATAGTCCTTCAGATTTTATCGCAAATAACTGTCTTTTGCTGTCTTTGGGAATTTTCCTTACTATGCATAACTCAAGGAAGTTTTATTAAGCTATACAAAGGAAAGCATAGGTCGGTTTCCAGCACTCAGACCACAACATTTCGGCTTAGGTCGTTACAGTAAGTACTTGGCCTTGTTTTCGCTATTGGTTGAGTTTTCGGATACCTAACAATGAAATCAACCTGACTGATAGAATTCAGTCTGCACTAAAGAAAGGACTAGACATATCACATTAGTTACTAGTGTCCAATGAAAATGCCCACTACACTCCTACAAGAGGTCAGTCGCGAGCCCGAATAGCTCAGTGGTAATGTCTCTGACTGCAAGCATCACTGGGTGATACGAATCTCAGAAGGGATGTGAGTTATTTCAAGGTTTCACTACGCCTTACTGACTTGTGAGTGCCAACTAGCATGGGACCTAGGTTGAGCAAGGCTTCCTCCCGATTGCCTCCAACTATCTGATATCATCAAATCAATATACACCGTGATGGCAAGCTACCTAGAATGGTGGCCGCATTGCAAACCTGACTGATAGAATTTAGTCTGCACCAAAAAGAGGACTAGACACGTCACACTAGTTACTAGTGTCCAATGAAAATGAAATCAATTGGTGGATGGTGGCTAGCAGTGGAATCCAGGACGCGCATTTCGTCCTAATTGGGACTCGTCAGCTGGATGTACCTGCATTTCTCAGTGAGTGATGATGTTCCCACCAAGGCTCGAACCCAGTGCCCATAGTTTGAAACGCCAAAGCGTTATCCACTAGACCACTTGGGCCACGAGAGCCACCTCTTGTGCGACGGGTCATATGCGCATTTCGTCCTAATTGGGACTCGTCATCTGATGTACCTGCATCCTGGATTCTACTGCTAGCCCCCATCCACCAATTGTATACAAATCAAATCCCCAGACATCGTCGAAGCATCTGCACTAGAAGCCGACATGTCAACCTGAGACCGAGCACTTCGGTTCAATCAATCGACGGGAAAATCAAGAATTCAATTCAAAAATGAAATCAACTCTATTCCTTAGGCCCTTTTAGATTTACCATTCTGTGGTTATAATTTCTATGGAATCGTTTACTTTACGGTTCACCTTGTGAAGTTTTCCTCACTGATGAAAAGTGTTTTCCTGGGGAAGTAAATACTCAAATTACCCATGCATTAACGAGTGAAACACATTACTTTGACCAAGGATAATTGTGATGAGATTAATTTATCACTTTTATGGATACGCTTTGCGCTAGTATGGATAACAAATAAGAAATAAAAAGAAAAGATGA